AATTGTTTTGACCTCTAACAAACTCTAAACTCTCAAAACTAAACCCTAATACAATATTGTTAACCCAAACATAAATAATATAATGAATAAATAATTTTGAAAAAATAATATTTTTGTAAAAATTTTAAAAAATAATATTTTTAAAAAATAACACTTTAAAATGGAGTCTTTCAAAATGTCTCTATTTATTTAAGAATACATCTCGAACTTAGTGGCCTTATAGATATTCGAGTTTATTTGTATGTATTTTTGTGTGTGTAGTAGAGTATTCATAAATTTAGGATGGTCAGACATATATAATTAGAACCCATTTTCTTTTAATATCAATGAACTTTGCTTGAACAAGTAATTAATATTTTGAGATTCAGATATATTGTTTAATTTACCAATATTAGACTACGAATGTTCGGGACTTACCAGATACATAATCGAACAGATAACTGAAGAAGGATGATTGATTGCTTTGTGGATCTGTGGCATGTGTAACAGATAATTATTTAAAACAAGTCATTATACATATTTTAAAACGTACTGTGAACAGAGGATCCATATTTGTTTGTTAAGGAAAAAATCAATTTAGTTGTTTGGACGTGTTGGACCAGAAACATCCACTCGTATTATTCGTAATTCAGAAGAGAATGTATCCGAATATGCGGATCCCACCAAGACAAGTCATTATTCTTTGATATGTGTGAGTGATTTTAGATGTCTCTCTCCATATTCGACAATATTCAATTCTATCTTTCTTACTTTTACTTCAAGTTTTCTTCTACAGTTCTTATTTAGGTTTTTAATGTTTGCAGTGGTCTAAGAGGAATACTCAGCAAATCAATATTTTTTTTCGTAAAAATTGTAGTCCACATCGTATTTATTTCATTTGATTTTGGCTGTGCCACTATAGATTAAATTATGAATGGTGAACAATAGAGCGATAGACGATCAAGTATGCAAATAGTTTAGTCCGTTTCATTCACTGCAACGATTGAATGAAATGTTATAAATGCTTACAACATGTCCATAAAAGTTATATTTTTGTTATTTGACCAGTCGAAGTGGTGTCATGCTTTCGGCCCATTAGAAAATCCGGTGAGTGGCCTACTCGACGGCTATACTCATCCTGAAATATTAGTTGGGTGGTAAAAATCCGGACCCCCATTATCAAAAAAAAAAAATTATATTTTTGTTTTATAATTTAAATTTGAGATCAACAAAATAAACGATATATTAATACTTAGATAACATCATTTTCCTGGCTAGGAAGAAAAAAAACTTAATTTTCCCTTCTCGACTTCTAACTAATAAAAGGTTGTATC